ACTACATCATAAGAGGACCAAAGTATGATTAAATCTTGCCTATTTTGTGTGTAGTACTAGTTTAGGGATTCTAAATATTACTTAATAATGTATAACATTTTATTGCTGTAATGTGCATGTTCCTATTGAAACACACCATGACATTTACTTGGCAGGTTTCATCTGGTCCAGGTATTCCCTGGTCATCATCCCCAAAAACTGGAGCCTGTTTGCTGTCAACTTTTTCACTGGCTTGACCGGTACCATGCAACTCAGCAGAATCGCACAGTAAGTTTATATGGGGTTCAAGCTGTCTTATTTCAACATTTACACAAATTATCATTTCCATTTACTTTCACTTAATTGTATCCGTTTTAGTTTTTTGTTGTTGTTAAAGTTTAAAATATTTTAAAATTGAAAGTTCATCAGTAAATAAGACTGAAAGAAAAGAAGTACATCATCACTTTGTTACCTGAAAGTGAAAGCCTACCCTAAGAATTGTGTTTCATAGAGACTGATTTTTATGTTTTATAGTTTATGACATTACTATATTTTTGAAGCAAATAAAATCTCAGTGTTCTTGCATAGTTGAATTTTTTTGTTGGTGTCCTAAAATCAGATGGTTGAAATAATAGATATTACAAGCACTTCTATGAGCATTTAGTAAATAGTAGGCCTACTCATAGAAGGGTTTTACTACAAAAGTAATTAATACTGGAAGTGTCTTCTAATCTTAATGCATCAACTTTTTACTATTGTCTAATGTTCAGTAATGCACACAATTATAAATACATTTTAGATATTGCACAATTTTAAAATGAAAATGTTTACATCATGTGATGTACATGTCTTCAACTTTAAGATTATTATTATCCATTTTTCAGCCATGAGTATGTTGTAAAGCCACAGAGGGAGACAGAAGCCATTGAAAGGTTGCACAAGAAATACATTGCTGTGGTTGAGAACGGTGCAGAAGTGAAGCAATAGACGTTCTGCCTACTCATTGTGATATGCCCGTTAGCTGCTATTAAGTGTAAAGGATAATAAGCTCAAATAAGGTGCCAGACTTTTTTAGAGCACCACTTCAGAATACTGGTTTTTATAAAAATGCAAATATGTACATAAGAGTTAATAAGAGTAATTTTTATCCAATGTTACCCCATTATGTAACTTAGTTTCATTTGATGCATAACTAGCTGTGATTGGAATTTAGTGAGATATATAATTTTATTTTACAAAAAATGAATAGGCAAGAATTTGACAAGTTAATGAATACATTGTTTTAAGTATTCTGTAAAGATTTGCACCTTACATCATTAATTTATCCACCGCTATTCCAGTTTGTTTAAGTTGTACTCTTAAGAGTATTTTAAAAAAAGAGCCACAGTTTAAGCATGCTGTTAAAGGATTGGTTTGAAAATAAAATATACCAGTAGCTTTGTCCATTACAGAGTTTTAAAAAAAAAGACCATTATATTCAAGTTTTATCTTGCATTCAATTTGTTTATTAATGAACCAGTGTTGGCTTATGTGTTTGCAAACATAGATTTAAATACTGCATTGGTTGTGATGTTGTGTTACTCTCAAATAGTGGGTATTAAATGGATTTGGTTATCTTTTTATCATAGGTAGATTCAGTTTAGCTTTATGAATAAGCATTAACTTAAGCAAACATCCTTAATGCATAAAAAATAGTAGAAATGGATTTGTTGTTTTATTTCATCTTTTTAGGAGTTGTTTTCTCCGTGTTGCAGTGCACATGGGTATTTTTAAGTATTTAAATTATGGAAATAAATTGTATCTTAAAATGTTATTAAAATACAAACAATTTGTTCACATAATTTATATTATGGAAATTTATTAACAAGTATTAATGGTAAAAATGATTCAGCGCCGGTTTCTAGGTAAGAAGTCATGAATATGCACACAAATTTTTAACAGACAAAGTACAACTTTGATAACACTGTTAAGTTTATTTGAACAAAAAACATTAAGTCTTTCTGTAGCCAACTTTGTTTTCTATACAGTCTGTATTACAGATATCACCCATTCATTAAATCACCAACAAACTTGATCAAGACTTATTTCTTAATGTGTGCTGTACAAGTAAATTAAAAAAAATATACAGCACATTTTTGAAACCATATTCCTACTGCATTAAGAGCATAGAATATTTATGCATGACAGATACTACATTCAAACATGTCTACATGTTGCTCTCAGAATTCATCTAATAACTTATAAAGGCATTCAGAGCTAATATTTAAAAACTTGTTTAAAGAATCCATCAAATGTTTCTATAAAAGGAAATAAGTGAAAGTAAAAGCGCTTGAACTTATTAAAACTCAAAACTTAATTTTGGTATAAATGTTATAGGAAAAGTTCTTAACAGATTGTTTTGCTGTTTTAAGTTATGTGAACCAGACCTGGTGCCGATAAAAGTAATATTTTTCTTGACATTGTGCAACTATATCAGAAAGCAGATGGAGTACTACTAGACTGGCATGAAAAAAAGAATGACATTGTGCTTCCAGGCAATTTAATGTTATCAAGATAATGATGTTGAAGATCTGGCATGATCACACAATACACACTTTTTAAAGCATTATTTTATTTGGTTAACAATTAATATTCAACAATGTATAGGCTACTTTACTTTTTTGTAAACAATACAATACAAATATAAAGTGTACAACATAATATGTATAAAACTAAGATTTGAAGGGAGAAAATAACTAACATAATTCATTATATAAAAAAAAAAAAAAGACTGCAAACTTTAGAGCCAGTTTTATAAATATCCTTTTTTAACTAGTATATAAATCAGAAGCCAACAAGCTCACAAAAACTCATTGAATACATTAACATGTTCTATACTTTATCTGCTGAAAATGGCATCCAAATCATCTCATACTAAATAATTTATTCACAATGGCAAGGGGACACAAATTTGTATTTGACAATTTAAATTACAAAGTGTAGAGCCACTACTGAAGATGAAACCTAAACCTAGCACAGTTTTGTTTGAAAAGGAAACAATGATTTTTACAAGAAGAGGGAGGGAAAGAGAACAAAGCAAATATAATTTATAATAATTGAAGAAACAATGTTCAATTAGTTCTAATCGCATCATTATTGAGCATTTAACATACTTAGAATTTCTTTCTGTTTCCGTTGTGATCACTATATATAAAAAATTTACACCATACTGAACAATATGCTAGATTCAACTAATGCACTATACTAAAGTTGAAGGTGAATATTTACAAACAGTGAAGCAGCAAAACAACTTAAAATTTACAAAGACTTGAACAAAAATAGATTTTAATATTACATCAAAGAAAGTTGTACATTTCAATTGAGCTCAGTTAACAGTATTGTTTTATGAATTGTTACTACAGGAAATATCCATTCAAATTATTTTATTATAAATATATGTTACAAGCAAAGCAGATCCATGTCTTAAACTTAAAGCTTAATTTCTTTTTGGGATTTTGACAAGATTTTTTTAGTATGAAAGCTTTGATTCAGTATTATGGAACTTTTAATTGCTTTTCAGCATTTTTTTAAACATTTATAATTAGGATTAGCTTAATTTAGCAGGAATGACAGAGGATGAAATTTTGATGTTCATTTTCAAAACAAACATGGCAGTCTAATGGTTCTTTCATTTAAACTAAAAAGATGACAATGCAAGATACAGTTTTAACAAGTCAGAGAACATCATAGAGTAAGTATTATGCAGCTCTTCTGAAACATTGAATAAAGTTAAAGCTTATCAGAATAGTTGAAAAAGCTGTGTTAAAAAAAGTACCAGGTATGTTATATAGACTGAATTACTGATACTTCATTAAAAAATAACCATTTGCTTAGATATCATATAATGTTAAAACTTTTATTTTAAGACCAAATTTATTTAGTGACATAACATGACAAGATTTGACTGTTGCAGTAAATCTAATAGATCATTTATTTTCAAATAGCCCATAACAGGGTTCTAAGCGTTGATTTTTAAAAATTAGAAAAATCATTTAAAATGCATGTAATATTGACTGCTGTTGAACATAACAAGGTATTACAAACCCCAAGAGTTTTTTTAAGATATAAAAATTAATTGAAAAGAAAAATTATTAATTTTTAGTATTTTAAAATATACTGTAGTTTTTAATTTTTTAAAATGACTCTTCACCTGATTCAGCAGCCCTAATTCAGGCTAAGGTTATTTTAGTACAATGGTTCAAGGAGAGATACTGGCCACAATAAAGAAAAACAAAATTAGTGAACTCTTGCAATATGATAGGGCTTTTAATTGGACTTCATTACACTATGCTTTAAATTAAACCTTTAACAAAATTAGGTCAAAGACTAAACTGAAAAGTGACACCCAGGACCAGCCTGTTTCAGTACACACAAACAGGTCAAATGAACAGGAGATTTAAATTAAATTAAATAGCTCTCCAATTAAACACCTTCATTCATCATTTATTATAAAAATGTGTGTAATACAAAGATAAAATAGACTGTCACCCTAAAAATATAACCTTAACTAGCATAAAATGAGGTCTTAACCTCAACTATAATCCATAATTCTCAATCCTATTACATGTCAAATAACTTTTAATATTTTTACAGCATACTCCATGCCATTGAACTTTATTGACTTTGAGAACGATCATGCCACCATACTCCACAGTAACAAATGCAACAGAATTATTCAAGCCAATCATTTTATATCTTAATATTCATTTTTTTTAAAGTTAATAAAATCATCTGCCAATGGTTAAAAATTATAATACTTTATAAACAAATGTGTCCTTTAAATAAAAATAAATTTCATTCAAAATCTTTGGCTTTACTTGCAATAAGAAATATTTCCCTTAAAAATTATAGTAAAATCAACCACCAGTAACTTAAAAACTTCACTTCTATATGTAATAAGCTAAGTTATAATTTCAGAAAACAAAAAGAGAAGCAATTTTTAAATTTAAAAAAAAAAAAATTAAGACAAAAATGCTATAATTGCCCAATCATTGATCAAGGGATGAGTATATAAGAATGAAAGAATCACATATTACTACCTGTACATAACAATGGCCAAAAACCAGCAGTGGATTTATCAATTTGTACTTAAATGATGGCTAATTTGCAAATTTTTACTTTCTGATAATCAGGACATTCCCAGTTAATAAGAAAAATTATTTACTAAAACTGTCAATTCAGATTTCAAACGAATTTGTTTTTTTGAGGGGGTGGGGAGAAAATGTATTTCATTTGGGTTTGTTTCAAAGATACTCGGTTAATAAATTTATACACTTTGTTTCATATTACATGATAGCCAAATAACAAAAATGACACTGAATTGGATATATCATTTAATAAAAACAAGAATAACCTGAAATCATCAGCTAGTTTATAACTTTGTTCAGTTAATTTGACTTTGGTGAAAATTGAACCCAAAGGCTTAACTCTTTCCGTGCCAAGCCACTGTATATCGTCGATTTGACTGGCAACGATATATTGTCAAAATAATAATTTTTTTTAATGTCGTTGCCTGCGGCTATTAATCCGACTTTTTATGTCCTAACAAAGGATAACTCTTCCTACTTCCTGCCTGTAAGGCTTGTTTACATGTGTTTTTTCTAATAGTTCAATTTGTGTTGAAACTTTTGTAAACAAATCAATGGCCACGCCTACTCCAAGCAAATCAGCTGTTGCTAGACCACGTAGGTAGTCCAGTTTGCAAACAAAAGATCTTTTATTGCTAATTATTGATCCTGAAACATCAGACAATAACCATGAATCATTTGAATCTGATTCCAATGATCATTTTCAGCTTTCTAATGGGTCGGTAAATGCCAACTGGAAATAGTAATAGAATGTTGATAGTAATAGTGGTGACTGTCTGCACTTTCATAAAATTTCAAAACATTTTTTTAAAATATAAAGATACTACGGATGTATAAAGCCTAGATAATGGATTACAAAAACACAAAGATCAACTTTCTAGCTCAAGTGGTTCAAAAGTTATGTTTTTTTTTCAAAACGACTTTGTTACTATGACAACAGTGAGGATTCAGATAGTACTACTCCTAACATTACAAAATTGGTTATAACTCTCTCATTAAATGGAATATTTTCAAAATGTAAAATGCATTATGATAAAAAAATGGATATACTTTCTGAGGATTGAAGCAGAATAGGATACCAGCTACACAGACCAAATGGTTGTCTGGTAAGTTCAGAGTGGGTACGCATTTTTTAAAAAAATAAAAAATTTGATCTCATAATATTACCAGAAAAATTTAAACTATTGTTGTCATATTGTTTTATCTGATACATATTACTATTTTCTGTCCAATTTCCTTTAATTTGATATGAAATACAGCTATAGTGCTAAAAGAAATATATTCAAAATTTATTAATAGATAAGAGCACCCTAAAAATTTCCATCGGCCGAAAACTGGTCTGGCACAAACGTGGAAAACCCCTGGCATGGAAAGAGTTAAAATAGGTTTTTAAACGAAAACTAGGGGATGTTGCCCACTACACTTGCTTTCTATACACCTGACAACCTGGACTGGCTATTCTTTTAGTATAGTCGGAACTGTTGATTTCATAAGGACCTTTCTTTAGAAAGTATTTTAATCATTAAGTTTAAGTAAGTTTTTAACTCAGATTACATTTACTTGGATATATGTATTCAACATGCTCCAGTCACACAACTGTTTCAAAGAAAAAAAAATGAAGTAATAAAATGATCTTAGAAATTTTAAAAAAAGTCAAAACCAAAATGATGTGATAGCATTCACTGGTCATACTGAGACAACATTACAACAGTTTATTAAAAAATGGGTTTAACATTATATTTTTCTTCTCTGAAACATAAAAAAAAATAATTGCTTTTCATTTTTGCTTTTGTCATCCATGCTCATTCATTAGTCACCATAAAATGTTAACATGTATAATCAGGTACTTTTTCTCTCTATGCTTGAGGCATGCTGTTGATGGGCAACAGTCTTTGCTTTAACTATCTCCAATACGTCTGCAGGCAGGACAACTTGAAAGACAACAATGGGTGATGGGGCAGACAAGTGAAGTAACAACATGCAGATGAGGTCCATTGTGTTCTCCACACCCAATTAAATAACCCCATCAATTCCCAGGTGAAGGAATTGGAAAAGCCAGCATGGTGGGAAGCTCTATGTACCTGATAAGCAAAATCACAAAAACAAGGAAAGAATAAAAAAACCTGCTTTTTAAGTGTTTTGGATAGGAAAATGCGTGCTTAGATTTTATAAAATACCAATCACCAATAAAAGAAGCAAACAATAAACATCCGCTCCCAACTTTGTTGCTGTAACCATTGAATGACTGAAGTATGTGAAGAAAAATCATCACATGATGAAATAAATTAAATTTACTTAGGTAACAGTAGGAGAAAATATTATCAGCAGGTAAACAATTCACTTAAATCTATTGCAGTGTCATTTATTTGTAGATTTATTCAAATTTTGAATCCTTTTTTAAAAATTTATAATTTTAAATTGAAAGCAATAAAACTAAACTTCTAATAAGCCCCAATGACTTTTTTGACAAGTTAAATTTCAGAAGTAAATAGTTACAAAAATAATTGTGTCCCTTTTTAAATTTTGTAATCCCTTAATATGAACATGATCACCTCATACATTCACAGCTTTCAAATGAGAAAATCTAACATTAACATACATAAGTTATATCTAACCTGTTTCTGTTATATAGGGACTTTAAAAAAAAATGAATCATTAAGATCTGATTTCTTATGACACAAATTTTTTCTGTCAGAAAAAAATTCAGATCTGAATTACATTTAAAACTTAGCAAAATAAAATTTACTGAACCACAGCAACTATGTTATAGTCTGATTTTGATTTAAGGAGCTAATAAACAGATTCATTATTAAACTAGGCTTAACTGTTTGTTTCATGTAACGAAACATCTAAGCACAGAGACTGACTTTGATTACTGCAGATCTACATAATAGTTTTAATGTTACCTAAATGTAATATATATATTAACATACATATACTGGTACACAAGGATACCCTTTGGTTATTATTTTTTTCCGCCCTGGACCCTGGCCTGGATACCTAATTTATCACGATAGCACTATATATACATAGGATTTATTATCAGACATATATTTACAAACAAACAGGCTGATTTAAAAAGAAGCCATTCTATGAATTAATTTTTATTGGAAAATATATTTAAAAATTATTAAATATATCAGAAACTTTTTGATTGAGAAAATTAAATTGACTACTTGGAAATCTCATCAGAGGGTTGTATATTTGTCCAATTTTTAATCATGTGGGGCTGTATATTTCTACTATGGTATATTTTTTTACAGAGCCCATTTCTACAACAGATACTAAAGTAAAGAAAAAGTGGTAACTAAACGTTAGTTTATTGTACCAACATTTTTCTTTAATAAAATAAACAACAACCGACAATGTTAAAATAAAAGATTTAAGTTAATATGGAATATATCAGTGATTTAAATATTTGCTGTGACAATAACATAGCTCACCAGCTCGATGATGGTGTCCTAGAGTTGATGAGGGTGACCCAGACCGTGCCTGAACATTTCCCACTACATCTTGTACAAGTCTAGGAGGTAAATGCCCAATTACTGGTTGATGTGGGGGAAGAGGTGGGCCTGGAATCATTTCATTCCGAGGCATCTCGCATACTTCACATTTTTTTAGTGCTGGGTGGTTGGAAAAGGTGCAATAGGAACAGTTCCAGGAATCTCCCTCTTCCGAGTCTCCTGAGTTAACAGCTGGTTGATAATTGCTAGGAACAGGGGGTACACGAAAGATGTCATTACTATGGTTTCCGCCAATGGCTTGATTGATCTCTGCGGAGGGTTGCCTAATGGGAATAGGTGGTGGTGGCCTTGGAGGAGGAACAGGCAATGCTAAAATGAAAAAACAGAAATCATCAATGACACATTTGAAAAGAATGGTTGATATCTTTCTTAAAAGTAATAACTTGGATTGGATTTATCATATAAGTGAAAAACATTACTGTATATACTAGATCTAAAAACCAATCAATCAGAAGCAAGACACCCCCACCCTTTTTTACTGGGAAAAGTCTTATAGGTGTATAACCTGCTTATAAGCCGAACCAATAAAATAATATGCTAGTGTGTGCAATATGGTACAGTAAAAACTTTTTAAAAAAAATTATTGTGTAACTGAAAGAATGAAAACTAGTAAACGTATAGTATAATGTATAAGAAAGGAACTCGCATTGCGTGTCTAACCCTGCTGAACATTTCCAGTAAAAGATGATTGCTGATTTGAAAGAAATATAGCCTTATCTTTCCATGCATGTATTCAGCTAAAAATATCAACAAGTCTAAAACTAAAAATATCAACAAGTCTATGTAAATGCAGATCGCTGGTAACAAACCATATGAAAATGAGACTACTCTAACAGTTACAAAAAAAGATTTCAACTGCTTATAAGATCTTGAAAAGAAAATACAACTTGACATTTCATTATTCAATGTTGGTTAATTTGATACTTTCTAAGCACAGCTAATCCCAGAAACCCCAAAATGAGGACAAAACTAGTGAACCTTTTTTGCACATGGCTTTAAGTTGACTTTGGTTAATTACATTCTTCAAAATTGTATTCTTGAATTGAATCAATGTACCCAGATAAAATTATAGAAATCTCCTATGACTCGCCCATCTTATTCCACTGAAATATTTCCTCAAGGTATTGCTTACAGAACTAGTATATGTGGTAAATGTACATAATGTGGAGACTGATGCAACATGCAATTGAGGTAAATTCTAACTATTGAAATACATTTTTCGATTGCAGGCTATCAATATTAAAATCAATGTTTCTGAGAAAATGTCAATTCTTTAACCCCACTTGTTACAACTAAGCATTAAAGTCTGATCTTGATGTTCACGTCTGATGTTAAATGAGGTCAATACAAAATCATTGAAAGGTCTATTATTAAAAAAGAAGAAAGTGAATCAAATCTCTCCCTGATTATTTTTATCAGGCATAAGAAAGTAAAAGGCAGTAATAAATGGAAGTCTTCAAATTCATAATGGTTATGTATGGGAATATACACAATGGATTGTCCTCAGACCTTTTATTATTGTCAAAAGGGTTAAAGTTTAACACATTCAGCTGCTAAAAAAATGTGTCATCTTCTGAATGCAATATTTTTAAAAAGTTGTTGTGGTCATAAGAAAAGAAAATATACCTTCAAATTTTTCTTAGGTTTATTTACCTAGATTTGTACCCAGTAAGAGTATATTGATCTCGTATTGATTGCATACTGTCTGTCAGCATGCAAGAATAACATAATAAGAAACATAAAAAGCCAAAGTGTATGACAAGCACTTACGTCTTCGATTGTCATCTAATCTACCTGAAGCAGGAATCCTACCATAAATAGGATCATGCTGTCCAGTTGGCATGTTGGCAAAAAAGTTTTGCTGGTCAAGAGGATTAATCTTGTTGAAAGGGGCTTGAAATAAAACATTAATAGGCTGTAATGAGCACACATCTATTAAGTTGTATACATAATCCTCACATGACAGATAAGAAAATGTTGCAAAATGCCTCAAAGTTTACAGTTATTTATCCCATTGAAGGCCTAAGATTCCCAACAAACCAAATTCTGGGGTTTTATTCTTGTGCGCCACCCCTCCCCCCCACCCTCCAAATCTTAGGAATTACTAATAAAAAAAACTTTAGGTAGGAAATAAATTCTTTTCATGAACATGTTAAAATACAAAGTGTATGATCAAGGTTATTTTTGGAACCGTAAAAGTGACTATTGAAGTTCTGTATTTGAAATATTATAAAGTTTTAATTGTAAAATATGGTAATGCCTTATCTGTATAGATAGAAAATAGCATTTAAAAAACAACTTGTGTACAAACACTTTTACCGAACATCACATATAACTTTCTGAGACATACTTGATTTGATATTTCTTAAGACTATGTATGTCATTGAAGTAATACAAGCATCCCTGAAACTTACTTTGTCCACTTTTGTACATGTCAATTTCATTCATATACATTTGTATATCAGTCTGAAGTAACCTGTTGCTTTCACACAATCTAGAAATGTCTTCAACCTGAAAAACAAAGACATGTCAATTGTGGACAAATCATATCTGTAACAAAGAAGTATGTCCTAACAAATCTTTTGGCCTTATCTATTTCCCCGTTTAATATCAACACTTGCAGCAAGACAACATCAATCATAAATAAATATTTATTTATTGCAGCAATATATGGTTGCATTCAAAGCTATTATACAAAACTTTAGACAATTTAAATAAAGGTCCTTAGAGCAAGATTAAAAAGGGAAACACATAAAGTGTTGGTCCTTGAGTTTACAAAAGTCCTCAATGACGTAAATATCAATTTTAAAATTACTAAAGAAAAAACTTTGAAACAAGAAAGCTTACAGATGGAAAGCTTCTACTGGCATGGCTGCTGTTTTCTATCATATTTTTTTCCATATCCCCAACTTCGGCACGCAATCTCTCTAAAATAACTTTGTATTGCTCTGTGTCTTCTTCTAGTTTTTTCATCCTGCTTTTTTGGTGCTGAAGCAAAGCTGTAAATATTAACCATTTTTTAATTAAGTATATAATGGTTCATAACAAAATAATTAATTTTACATTTGTAATTTACTTACAAAAGAAAAAAATTATATTTAAAAAAAGAAAAAGAAATTTGTTTACCTTGTATGTAACCCGCTTCATCTTGTATACTCCCTGAACGTGGTCTTGTCCCTTTGTCTCCTCTGTCTAATCGGTTAACAGAGGAATCAGAGCTTATGCTACTGTGACTAGAGACACGAGAGCCCATATTGTTATAATGATGACTGCGACCATCATACTCCGCTCCAACACTATGTTCACTATCTTGACTGTTGGATCTGCTGTTCATTAAAGGCTGGGCAACTCCAACGCTTGGACTTTTTGGGAGATGATGAATACCAGTTAGTCCTTGCGGGGGAGTATAGTGGGTGTACTGAGAAAGGTGGCTTGGTGGCTGACCAGGAAGTTGCCCTGCTGGTCCAGAAACACCTATAACTGGAAAACTTGAGATATTGTACTGAGGGTAAGGACTGTAAGTACTATTAGAAGAAGACTGGTAAATGCTTGTTGGTGGACTACTATAGCCTGCCCGTTTATATTGAGCATTTTGGTAATGCTCCTGCTGTGAATGATTTGGAAAGTCTGAATTGTATGGTATGTAGTTGTTTCCTGAAGAGTTGTATGAAGTCTGGTGGGGGATAAAAGTAGGTGGGGCCCTTACAGTAGCAGGTGAGAAGAAAGGTCCACTAGAAACTTGATCTCGCCTAATCTCAACAAACATAGGCCTTGAGTGTGCGGTCCCTGGGGAAGTAGCCTGCACAGGTGTTGATAAAGGGCGAACTGCTGAATGAGGATTATTTGTTCCAGAACTGGCTTGAAAGTCACTTGTGTTTAAGTTCAGGGGTGGCACTGGAGTTCTCCTGCCATCTCCATGAGGAGAGTCTTTATTGCTACCACTATTTGCTTTTCTATCAGGTGTTAAATTATTAACATGGCTAGTGGTATTCACAACTATACTTGATGAATGAACAGGTTGAGATGAAGTGGCCTCGGTACGTAGTTCTGTACGAAAATGCTGGCTAACATTGGGTGTGGACCCATAGCGATGCATGTTTGAAGGGGGTGCTGACACTGTGCAAATTCCCCCGGTGTCTCCAAAATGCATTCGGATATGGCGAGAGTTCGGTGGAGTGGCGGCAGGTGACACTGAGCCCCCTGATAGTGACCCAGGAGGAATGTTGATGACCTTGACAGGGCGACGTTGCTCAACCGGGCTGCTTGTAGCAGATGAGTTCATGGTAGGTTGACGAGGTCTAGCAGCAGCTCTACATTCAATATTTGGGACATCTGTAGGAGAACGGCTGAACATGAATGGTGTAAAATCAGCAGGTGCTGTCTGAGGTGTGATCATATTGCCCCCGGGAACTCTATTGCCTTGAGCAGCAGCTGTTCCTGAGGTTGTGGAAGAAGACCTATCTCCAGTTTGTACAGTCACTAACACAGATTGGGTAACCACAGGTCTTTTTAAATCCTGATTTCGTGAAGGGTTGATTACAGATCTCTCAATTGTGCTTACATGTCTTTCAGCCCCTTTAGACTGAATAGCACTCTCATGAGATACTTGTAATTCTTGTATACGAGCACTTATGGACTTCCCTTCCCCAGGACTGGGGATGTTGTTATTACTTAAAGTCTCTTGAACAGGGGTATTCATTGGAATATCAGAATTGGGATAATTTTTCTTGTCCTCTTCTAGAGCTTTTATACATTTGTCTTTGTCATTGCCAAACTGAAAAATTTAATAATAAAAATACATTTTTTAAAAAAAGATTGTCATTATATAGTTCATAATGTAACAGTTATAACAGCCTATTTAAGAATGTATCAGATACTTTAAACTATTCAAATAAATGCGTTGAACTTGACATACCCTTCTCATCACTTTAATAACAGCCGTAATAGGTACATTTGGATAATGGTATTTCAGAAAATTCAATAGTTCAGTGTCTGCCATGGTTACACTGAAAAAAAGAAAAAGAAAAGAACATGAAATATAAATGGCCTTTTTAATTGTTTAATTTCACTGAGCAGAAAAATCAAAACAGGAATGTTGGTTTGATGCATACATTATAGTACCAGGGCTGTCGAAAACACCTGCCATGTCGACCACGTTGCCACGTACCCAAAAAAATCCACACAAAAAACAAGACAGATTATAGCAAGTCACAAATGTGAAGGATGTCGTCACTGGCCGCTTTTATTATCTACTGATATAAAAGTGTTGAATTTTATTCTACATCGATCCGTTTGATTGTTTTATCATCTAAACTTGCTAGCATAAATTTGCTAGCATAGTAAACTCAGCATGCCGATTGTTGTAGTGTATACTATGACCTTGGAAAGAAGTTGGGAGGTGACAGCAGGCACTAATGGCAGTGGAGGGTAAAGATAAATTTCTTAGAAATTTCATACTTTTAAGTGATTTTTTTCAATAGATTTTTAAACTTGTATACCTGAGAAGTAAGCCTCAGGCGGGTACCCAAGGACCTGTCGACAGCACTAACTACTGCAGCTGTAATTGGATTTTAATTAAAATATAATATAATATAGGCCTACTAGCAAGCACTTGGAAATTCCAAAGTTATTATATTTTAACTGATCTGGTACCTTCGAAAATAGTGCAATATCAATTCAGAATATTACTTTACCATCTCAAAATTTTACAATGCTGTACTTTAGTAGTAAATAAATAAACATACAGTATGGTATATACATAACTACTCACATGTCTAAAAAATGGTCACTCCATAAAGGAGACGACTGATGTTTATATATTTATAAACAGTGCTTTATCGCAGATAAAACGGTGCCTGCCATTGCCACTTTAAAAGATGAAGATGGGGTGGGGGGATCGAGGGCCCCCGCAGAAGTCACCAGAGGAAAAGTGGGGGTCGGCTGAGCCCTCTCCCCAGAATTTTTATTTTATAAATTCAAAATGACGGTTGCATTTAGGCGTATACCTCAATTTTCTTTTGCATCATTCTACACTTAATCGGATCTGAGAACAACAAAAGCAATGATTGCTTAAATTAGGTTCCTAGCTGTGTTTTAAAAAAAATACTTTAATTTGAGAAGATACTAAAATAGTAAAATTGTTTAATAGTTTTTATTTTAGATTTAAATTGACCTAATTAAATCTACTTTGAAATCTGTCCAAAAGAAGGGTGGGTAAACCCAAAATGACGCACTCAAAAAATGCTTTATGTATACATTTTAAATGTGCGTTGATATCAAAAAGGAAGTAATCGCTTATATAATGAAGAGGTCAGTTCAGACCTGTTTACCCTCAAACTCTTAAAATCATGCAATATCATCACAAATTCATTCAATACATTATCTTAATGGTAAAAAAATAAACATACAGTATATATAATGTATACACCTCAAAATCATACATTGTATGCCAAAATCCTATGAGTAAACAGGTCTGGACACCTGGCGAGCCAAAATATTTCATGCTTAATGACTTTTAAAAATAGATTTCAAATGCAGCTTTCTTGATATTATAAAATATGTAACTTCCGTTTTCACAATCGCTCCGGATTTTTTTTTTTTTGCTGGCATCCATCTGTCACAATGTGACGATGGTGTGGGCTTCGGAGGATGAAATCCACAAGGCCTGGGATTATTCTTCAAGGATTATAAGCTGGTTCCCAACAGCAAATTGCCTCTCTCCATGCCGCTGGATAACCCAAGGGAACATCATTTGATGATATAGCTTGGCACCAGAATGTTTCATTGTACCAATGTTATCCACCTTTCGGGACTCCTCCGGGTTTGATTTCAGAGTTTCCTTCTCTTAGATGAGTTGCCATCCAAGGTTAACGAGTCTCATCTTCTGCTGGTGATTTTTTTGCTTGACTGGGCTTTGGCTGGAATTGAACTCCAGACCACTAACTTGAGACCAGTTTAGACCACTCGGCCACCCAGCTCCGGATTATGTCACTGAATTATCGGTACGTCATACAGCACCCAAGCAAATAACTATCCATAAAGTTTAACCCCCTCCCACTGTTGCACGCATACATTTTGTCACCCCCTGTGCATACATATTTAGAGCTTTAACCCCCCCCCCCCCAAAGTGGTTTCCAAAATATGTGCCGTGTTGACCTCGGACAGGGCCATGAGAAGGGAACACTTGCCCCGGACTCCAACATGGGAAGGGGGCGCGTGACGATGACTCACGCATACATTTTGTCACCCCCTGTGCATACATATTTAGAGCTTTAACCCCCCCCCCCCCCAAAGTGGTTTCCAAAATATGTGCCGTGTTGACCTCGGACAGGGCCATGAGAAGGGAACACTTGCCCCGGACTCCAACATGGGAAGGGGGCGCGTGACGATGACACAACGCCAAAGTCACCCTTTTACTGGTCCGTACTTTACTCTATACATTGAGGGGTTCCATTTTTCAGGCTTCACACCTGGCGCCACTTTTCCTCAGCACTGCCTTGTCCTGGGTTGCTGCGCCTTCCTCATAGAGGTGCCGCGAAATAATACACAATTTTCATAGTTTTATTTCCACTTTTAATCCAATGTGCTATCTCCTAACTCACTTGAGTAATTACTGTTCTATTTATTTTTACCCAATATATATTTTAATATATTCACTGTTTCAAGGTATACTAGTTAGAATTTAACATAGGGCACCTGGTGAAAACCTAAATTTGGTAAATTTTATGAACGGCTGGCGTAGAAGAACAATATAGGTCTAATGTACATGAAACATATGGTTGACTAAATAATCTGTTAGTTTTCTACTACTGGAGCAACATCTAGTGAGTTAACTTGTGAAAGCACAAGACAACATTATGATGATAATTCCTACAAAATATTGCATGATATTTTTACAGCATTAGAACTATAAATATGCTATTTATGGAATGCAGGTATTGCAGAATTTGTGAATAAATGTACATACTTTCTACCGATATAATAATAATATTAATTTTCTATATTAAAAACTAAAAAAATGTAGTGCACTTTGAGGGAAAAAATTTGTTCCAAGAGAAATGTGCCACTAACTGAAGGTGATGAAAATGTCCCCATCAGGATGCCAAGAAGAGGCTCTCTGTTAACAAAGAAAACCAGCTTGTAATGACTTTTTAAAAAATGTAAAAAAGTAAAAGCTAATACCGGCTATTAATAAAATGACTTTGAAATTTTAAGTGTAATACAGTGGTTCTCAAAATTTTTCTCTTGCCAACCCTTGGCCTAGGGCTCATAAAATCATGATATTCTAAGAATAATAGTTTGTATGGTTATCTATCAAAAGATAAGTGCAAATAAGTGTAAAATGTACCACAAAATTACAAATGTCATTGTCATATTTTAAAAACTTTTTAAGGGAAAACGGAGGTTAGGGACTCCTTTTTTGGGTGTGAACTAGGTTTAGAGATAAAAATGTTGCTTTGGACACCATTTTTTCTTTTTTGTGTCCGCTATCTTATTGTCATTTTCAAAAAATATGGCAGCGTAAAAACGAAAGATGTGTGCAAATGTTTATTCTTAAACATAATGAGATGTTTAGGCTTGGTAAAGTGATTGCTGTTCGTTGGGCAGTTTAGACAACTTTGAGAACCACTACACCAGTCTAAAAAATTACTTATGCCTAAATTTACACTAGGACTCATTTCCCTTTTTTCCCTCCCGTCCCTCCAGTCAGTTCAGACAATAAAAATAGAAACATTCCCCATTATCATTAGAATTAGACTCTATTTAAATCATAGTCATAGCCTTCAGACAAAATTAGTATTTTTACAAATGTGTAAACCCTGTTCGGCCCTTATATACGCCTTATATGCATACACATTATAGTGTATTTAAATTGGAGGGGGTCTCCCCTCCCTAGAGAATGTCTATGTTTCTTATTTTGGTATTTAAAGCGAGGTGAGGGGTCCCTAGAAGATCATTCCAAATGCAATTTAAGCAGTAGTCTTCCTTTGTTACCTAAGTTTCAACATACGGGTATTTTGATTTCAACTAATCAAAATACAGCACTTTTGGCGCCAGTCTTTTTTTTTTCCACTGGTGTTGGGTCTTGGGGTAACAGCAAGGATGTGTTTCTTTTTTCCTTTCTTTTGAAACATGTAAGTTGAATTTTAATACAAATTAATGGAAAATTTCATTTTAATATACTTCATATTAACCGTATCGTTTATGACGCGAATAATGCTCAATAAAGAACAGGAATGTTATAACATACATCGTTCGGATCCTTCAAAGAATAGGTCTATTCACCTTAAGTCCAGTGTTGGGATTTCCCCAAAGTGACGTCACTGCGCTTAGGGTGAGAAAACTCTTGGCAAAACCCATGCCCATACCTTTAACTCAAAATTTACCCCATTGCCCACTCCCTATTCACTGGCAAATGATGTATGTATTATACTTTTTAAAAAACTTTTTTTAAAAACATTTCACTCAAAAAGCAATTGTATGCATTAAGTAAACAAACTAAAGATTTGAACAAATAATTTCAACTTATTTAGAAATGATTCCTTTAGTAGAACACTACCCCCACACTTGGAAAAAAAAAAGCAGTTTCCAGCTTCGGACGCTGGTTTAAATTTAGTTTTGTTTAGATTGCAAGTAGTTGGTAGGATTCACTACTCAACTCAAGACTGAAACAGTTACCTGCCCTCAAAGTTTAGAGGATTCTCGTATGCACTTCAAAGGACAAGTTCTTCCATAAGAAATGTGTGCTATAGTCCTTCAAAAAAAACATCCCAGAGTAATTTTTTTATGGACTTTGATTTTCCTAAATACACCACACTTGTACCAGCAAAATCTCAAAAACATTTACAGCTGACCAACTATTATTGTTCCTGATCCATTTCGCAAATATGGCGTTGTGTGCGCAAGCGCAGACTATTATTTCCGCACAACACGATTAAAGACTTCTTTTCGTAAATCTATTAATAGCCCAGATCCTAACTTTAAAAAAAAAATTTGTTTGTTTTAATGTAAAAAAAAAAAAAAAACGGTGAAAAACGAGAAAGCATAATAGGAGCATAAGCTTATACTTTTCAATAGTTTCTTTCATTAAAAAAAATTAGCACGCTTTTAATATTCTAGGCATTGTTTAAATAGACTATTATTTCCGCACAACACGATTAAAGACTTCTTTTCGTAAATCTATTAATAGCCCAGATCCTAACTTTAAAAAAAAAATTTGTTTGTTTTAATGTAAAAAAAAAAAAAAAAAACGGTGAAAAACGAGAAAGCATAATAGGAGCATAAGCTTATACTTTTCAATAGTTTCTTTCATTAAAAAAAATTAGCACGCTTTTAATATTCTAGGCATTGTTTAAAACGATTCATAGTTGCATAGTATAGGATTCATAATTAAATGAATACCCGGTGGTGTACTGGAACACCGAGATACCGGGGAAAATCCCGGTGGGCCGGGGACATTTGGTCCGCTCTGACAGTGAAATTTGGGTTACCTGGACCGCTTCTGTCTGTGATATTAGGGCCACTTGGAACGCTTCTACATTACAATCATACTTACATAATAAATCTCCACTTTCATACAGTGTATGCTTAAGAAGATATGTCACAGTTAAAGAAGCTAATAGTAATATGCGGTAGAAACCTGTTTTAAGTCAGGAGTCAGCAACCTTCTTTGAGTAAAGCGCCATTTTATTAATAATAACTGTTTATTAAATAGTTTTGGAGCCGCAAGTAGAGTTTAGGCCCTGTTGGTAAAAAAAAATTGAAGACTGTTACATCGTGTTACATCGTGTAAAGGCAATGACGTAGGAAGGGCTGCATTTTTTTCTCTAAAGGTGGGGCTTTTCGGTCAAATGCAGATGTTTTTTGTCGGATGTACCGGAAAATTCTCGATCTGCCCCAGGCGGCCCTTACTACTACGCCACTGTGTAAAGGCAAAGGGCTACATATTTTTCTCGCTCTCTCTTTCTCTCTCCCTCTCTTTCTTTCTCTCTCGCTTTCACTCTCTCTCTCTCTCTCTCTCTCTCTCTCTCTCTCTCTCTCTCTCTCTCTCTCTCTCTCTCTCTCTCTCTCTCTCTCTCTCTCCCCCTCTCTCTCTCTCTCTCTCTCTTTTAT